CCAGCTTTCTCTCTTATCCCATGAGGAACCCAAGACCTGGGTTCATGAAACCCAAATCTGGGTTCCTCACGGAACCCAAGTCTTGGGTTCCTCATGGAACCCCCTTACTGGGTTCGCGAAACCCAGTTGCTGGTTTCGCGAAGCCCGCAAGGAGCTTGGATTCTTCGAACTCTAGGATCTTCGTTCAATTTCTGTTTGTTTTCCTTTAGTTATTTACCTTCTTTCTTTTGATTGAAACGCATTCTGTAATTTAGATCGTGTTTTCTTTGAATGTGTTACGAAATCGTGTTCGGTTTTGGTTGATTTGCTGTAGAATAGCTGGAAGTATATGGAGATTGAATTTGGAGAGTGTTTTGAGTTGATTAAGAGTGAAGAACCCATGAACAATGAATTCAGGTCACACCTGGGTTCATTACCTGGATTGGAGCTGGGTTCTCCTGGCGGTAAAAGAAAAAAAAAAGAAAAAAAAATAAAGCACAGAGGAAGGAGAGGATGGGGAAGAAGATGGGGTAAATTAGTAATTTTTTCTTTTTCCGTGCTGGGAGAGTGACGTGGAGGGTGATGTGGAGGGTGTTATAAATCCACGTAAGCATATTTTACACATTGGCATACCCACGTCAGTTGTTCTAGTTAAGTTAACGTGCCATGTGAGCAAAAATTAATGGAATGACCAAAAAGCGACCGGATTTGTGAACAGTAAGGATCAAAAAGGGGATTTTTTCTGTATAGGGATCAAAAGGGGGCTTTTTCCTATAGTAGAGGGACCAAAAAAGGTATTTAACCTTTTTAATTTAGAGATTCAAGGTTTAATTTAGAATAAATTTGAGGGCTTAAAAGGGGGGTTTTGCCTTTAAAAAATTTAATAAACATTTATATATTTGTAAAAGTATCTCTTAAAATTATATGATTAAATAAAAATAGAGTGAGTATAAACTAATGGATTAGGGTAGTATAGATTGTCTTTCTAAAGTTTTTTTAGAAGGATTTGTTTAAAAACTCTCTTTCTCATTAATATTTTAAAAAATTAATTATTAAATTGAAAGTTTTATTTATATAAATCATATATATTAATTTTCATATTAATCTAATATTCATAACCATTTGATGAAAAAAACTCTATATATTGGTATACATTTAACCCTATTAAATTTAGTGTAGTTAATGAACTAATTAAACCAATTAGATCAATCTAAAAATTGACAAGTAAAATGTGTAAGAATAAAATTTTTAATTAAACAATTGGGTTTTTAAAAACATTAATTAAAAGATGAATTTTTAGATAACTCTTTCAAAAAATGTTAAAAAATGAGTTGTAAAATATTTTTAAAAATTAATTATAAATTTTACAAT